GTGTATCTGAAACCCGGCAGAGGTCCTGTGTATCAGTTCCAACAGTCAGAGTCTACATCGTACACAGGACACGCCGATTTTCGGTACCATTGATCGGCCCACTTCGCGGTTCTCCGACGGAGCAAAAGGCACGTATGGTCCGAGCAACCGTCACGGGTCCCGTTCTACCCGCGACTCGTTTCCGCGACCGGTTGCACTGTTCGCGATTTTTCACGACTCCTCGCGAGTCTCGTCGGTCTTGTTCGATGCGAACGCGCGGGATTCTCACTCGCGACGAATGCCACGATCGAACATCGAGGACTGACGCGTTCCACGTGAGAAATTTCGGGATAGAAGGCGGTACACGTCGATCACCTCCTCAGCCGTCTCTCGCGGACAACCTTACTCCCACGCCGGCCGAGTCAAGAATACGCGCGCCTTGTCAAAGACGAGTCCTGGTTCCGTTCGACGGCGGCAGGTGGTGCCGCGATCTAGCGAGGCGAGGATTTACGAACGACGCCGACGATCGACGAACAGATTAGCGGCTACGATGAAAGTGTCGCTGGTGGTTGCGAGCGTACGCTGATTCGTTTTATTTGAAATTCTGTTTCGTGTAATCTGCTCCGATTTTGATAAACTTCTTGTTTATCGTGATTTTTGTCGGTTTGGGGAATTGTTTGCATTTCTATTTTCTCGGAAGTGATTTTTAGCAATTCTTGACTAAATATTGCAACAGCATTTCACAATCTCCGTTCAAATGTTTCGAAGAACTAAGGCATTAAATATTGTGAACATTTTTGGTTAAACTTTGCGATTAACGCAAGCTAAAGAAAATATTTTTACCTATTCGATCTGGTTATTTTTCTCTATATAAGTTATTATAATCTCAAGTTTAGTTTACAAAGGTTGCAAAAAGCAGCTCCATTATCGCTTTTCCACGGCAATAATATTGAATTACTCTGTTACGTTAAATTCGAAATTGAAAAGATGCTTATGTTATATATGTTCCGTGGATCTTAATAAAATTAAGAAAATATAGTACATTGGCGTAAAAATTCATTTTTAAATCTGAGCAAATAAATTCTTGTTCACAAGAAACCTGAAGTTGTTTTGTAAATGTGACACTACGAGTAAAACATAACTTATGAATTTGTAAGTATAAATGAATCGTGCCTTCGTTCATCGAATGAATGAATGCCTTCCATTTTTCCTCGATTCCATGCGGATGCGATAAAAACTGCTCAAAATCGAGGACCGGTCGCCTTAACAACTGGCTACTTCCAGCGTCAATTATAGTTGGTTTTGTGAAGTCCGGAGCGCAATTTGAAATCATTGGCGGTTAAGAATCGATCGCATAAGGTCATTGTCCATCGAAGCAGGTAGGACGTGTAGGCATATACGGCCCTGTCGATTCCTTGAAGACAGTAGCTGTTTCATCGTCGCAAAAATCATCGGTAGACTGGTTTCTCGACGCCGTGGCACGCACTTAGAGTACGTGCGTATGTGCAACTGCGCCTCTTGGAAGAAACTGGAGACAGTATAGAACGAGAGACAGAGGGAGAGGGGAGAGAGAGAGAGAGAAACGTAAAAGAGAGAGAGAAAGAAGTAGTAGAGAGAAAGAGAGAGAAGTAGAAGAGAAAGAGAGAGAGAAGTAGAAGAGAGATCTGGAGAGGAGTAGGAAAAAGAGAGAGAGGGAGAGGGAGAAGGAGAGACGTAGAAGAGAGAGAGAAAGAGAGAGAGAGGAAGAGACGTAGAAGAGAGAGAGAAAGAGAGAGAGAGAGAGGGAGAGACGTAGAAGAGAGAGAGAAAGAGAGAGAGAGAGAGAGAGAGAGGGAGAGACGTAGAAGAGAGAGAGAAAGAGAGAGAGAGAGAGAGAGAGAGAACTGAAAACCGCGACGAAAAGGGGAAACACACGATCATCGTGATAAAAATTGTTGTAATGCAATACGCGCATACATGCATGCAATACATAATCCATTGGCAAACAAAAACCTCCAACAACATTCAATTAGCAAAAATGATCGACCATCTTAACACTCTATTTACCGTAATCCTATTCACAGTTTTTTTTCAGTGACTGGACTGTGTCTAAGAGAGGCTTGACAGTTTCCTTTTATATAAATTTAAAAGAACTTGCTGCATTATATTAATCGAATAACTTGATCTGTTGATCCTTATCTGTCGATACTTTATTTTCAAAGAACTATTCGAAAATTGCCGATAGATAAAGTGTTAAAAGCGAATTTTACACACGACCCATTTGCAACTATTGGGTTGGCAACTAAGTAATTGCCGATTTCAGTTATAGATGTCTCTCACTCCCATTTTTATGATATCTGTAAATGTTATATTATAAAATTATTATTATTATGTTATTTTTTATTATCCGTGCATGTTAGCAACTGGACAAATTGAATGCAGCGGTCAAGGAAAAGCGACCAGAATTGGTCGATCGTAAAGGTGTCATTTTCCAGCAGGACAATGCTAGGCCGCACACGTCTTTATCCACTCGGCAAAAATTGATGGATATTGGTTGGGAATTGATGTTACACCCACCATATAGCCCTGATCTCGCGCCATCGGATTACCACTTATTTCGATCCCTGGACAACTCCCTTCGTGGTAAAACTTTTAATGATGACGACGCTGTAAAATCTCACTTAACTCAGTTTCTGGCCGAAAAGGATCAGACTTTCTACGAGCGTGGAATTTTCAAGTTGTCGGAGAGATGGCAAAAGGTCATCGAACAAAATGGAAAATACATTACAGATTAAACTTCGTTCCAAGTAAAAAAAAATTATTTATTTCATTGAACAAATCGGCAATTACTTAGTTGCCAATCCAATATGAAGGACCACAATGTTTTTGTGAACCAACTGTTGCTACTTCGCAGCGTCTTCTTCCTCGTTAAAAGACGCGCTGTCGCGATAAGAGCAGGAAACATGAACGGATAAAATTGTGAGAAAAGCCACACTGTCGATGTTAATTTCTAATCTAATTACCGAGAAGCCGAGGAACCGGTGTATCAGCGTCGCGCAAACAAGAGCAGCGTGTTTTCCCTGGAATTGCCAAGGGTCAAGAAAAGCTGTGACTCTACGAATTCCAAGCAATTATTATGCACGCGATATCTACGCAGACGTTGCTTTGCAACTGTACGAAGGAAACGCAGCTTCCTTCATCTCGTGAAAAAAAAAGAAACGCACTGTTGCAATAAAAGCAGGAAGCATGGATGACGAGATCGCGAGAAAAGCCGCGGCCAGTGCCGATTTTTAATCTAATTACCGAGAAGCCGAAGAACCGGTGTATCAGCATCGCGCGAGCAAGAGCAGCATGTTTTTCCTGGGATCCGCGAGGGTGAAGAAAAGCTGTGAGTCTGCAAATCCCGAAGAATTTTTATTCATGCGATATCTTGCCCGCGCAGCGGCGACGACGGCGGCGGCAAGTACAAGTAGAGTACCCTTGTACTCGTCGCGGCCAGTTTTTGCCAGAAAACGTGCTGGATAACAGATTGACGAGGGTACCGGTACCGAAACATCGGCGATTTCGAGCGCATTAAATTGGCTTCGATTTATGATCCCATGCGAGATTGCTGAACGATGAAATGACAATGGATTTGGTGAAATTTCGCACTCACCATTTTCTTCTTCTTCTTCTTCCTAAATCGACTCTAAATTATCATAACATTAATAACAACTCGGAAAACATTACGTTTAATTGGACGATGTTTTTGTCAGGGAGATTCGACTTCATAAAAATGTATCTGCACACTTTCATCGCGGATTTCTTACGCCGTGTTTTTTTTTCCCTTTCTTTAAATCGTTACGCCAGAGCGTTTTGACGTAGTGTATCCCAGATGACATCCGGGAACCATGATGCGCGTTCTTCGGGTAATTTTTTCTCCTACGGAGGGAACTGGGAGGAATATGTTTATTGTCGAAATGGTACCGACCCGGCAGCTGGAGTGTACGAACATTGCAAAAAATTGTTTGTTCTCTTTCCCGATGGAAGGATCTTTCCATGAATGTTAGTTTCACGCGTCTCGTCGCTATTCTCTCGAAATACTAAAGCTACGTAGTTATTTCACACAGAAATAAATTAATTATATAATTAGTTATAAATAAATTTCGTCCTCGTTCGTGAAAGGGATTTGCAAAAGGCATTTTTTTAAATTATCGTTATAGACTCAGATAAAAAAATTAAAAAACGAGAGTTTTTAATTCTTTCTTTTCGTTCCAGGTAATGGCAAAATTAAAAAAAAGTTTTCTAGCAAAAATGCAAATCATTTAGTTCAGTTCTCAAAAAGTTATTGCGTTTTAAGCAGTTAAGCGCGTTTGTCGTGTATACACGTCAAACCAAATCTCTATTACGGTGCGTTCGACGTGTTTACTCGTCGTTAAAAACATAAAATTACCATTGACTATGAAAACTCGAAATTTTAATAAAACACAATAAGAATATTATTTGGTGGGATGTTTACTTTACATTGCCAATAGAACTGTTAAGTATTTTATACGGAGGGGGTGGTGGGATGGGAGTGGTTGGCTCGTGACCCGAAACCAATTCCATACACAAGCCGCGACTTCAACGGCGAGTGTTGATTTGCGAAGAAATCGCCTGAACAGTTAGCCGAGCCAATACACTTTGCTCTACGAGGTCAGTCTCAGTCCTAGTTTATAATAACAATAACTTCTCAGAAATATTCAGAAATATTCTGCCTATTCATCCAATGTTTTCTGCCAGATTTTACGGTTTTATTGATTTCTGCCGCGTGTACGGCAGCATTAGACCGTGAAGGGTTAATTCCGCACACTGTGAGGGGTTTTTAAAACTAAATTCGCCTCTTAACAGGTTAAATGGTTTCCATCGAATTATTTTAGACCCATCATTTATTATCTGAAATTGATTTCTCCTAATCGAAGACATTCGCGTTACGAGTTGTCCGGCTTAGCCAAACGTTCTAAACGAAGAGTAAGGGTTGAAGGGGCGAAGAGGGTAATGAAGTCAGCGACACGCTGCGGTGATTCTTTTTTCACAATTCATTTATTATAAATAACAAGATGTATATTCGGTGCGCACGTGTTGTTTAACCTGTATATTTATATGTATACTCAAGCTCCGTCTAAGTTTTATTTCGCTTACTGTTCTATACCTTGTTTACTTTGAGTGTTGTTCTCAATAACATATTTCCGCTACGATCTATCATGACGATACTCTCTGCGCGAGGAATTCGGAAAGATTCTGCGTCATAGGCAAAAACTCCACGTAGCACCCGATGGAAAAACGAAAGAATGGATCGTTCATCCTCCCGCGAGATTTCAGTGGCGTTTTCATAATTATCGGTTCACGTAATTTCGTTTATTAGTTCTCTCAATGTTTTTTTTTCTCTTTTTCTTTTTTTTAGTGTGATCGATTTAGTGTGCAAATGAATAAGATTTCTCTCAATTTTGTCGTCTGAATTATTCTTAAACCCTTCGTAACCAACAACGACAAGGTTCGCGTGCCCGTCGAGCGTTATAGACATTCAATCACCGTTAGCACCTGAAATAGAAACGCTTTTGAACACGAGAGATTCGCGGGCCGTCCCTCGAACAATTTATACATATAATAGAATTTTCTTCCGCGCGTGAATCAGAACGAATACAATCCGTCAAATTAGCAGTTAATGATATGCGTCGCCTTCGAATATCTTCAATGAAAGAGATAGGATCACGATTATTAGTTTTGTCGTTGAACGACCGTGCAGCGGGCGTGCACGTATTTCATAGATTCGTTATCACACATTCCTCACGATATGTTCAATCAAATGCAATTAATGGGCTGGGAGAAAAACGCGTGGACCGTTGAACCTCGGTGGACCTAATCCGTTCTTGAATGTTCCTATAATGCAGTCCCAAGAGCGACAAGTGGAAACGAAGGGGTTAAATGGTGGTGGTTTTTTGGTTGTGGCGGTGGTGGTGGTGGTGGTGGTGGTAGTGGTGTCGGTGGTCCTTAAAAGCTACATCTTCATTTTATTCTGTTATCTTCGATTCTTGTGTTCTTTTTTTTTGTCGTTTTGCTTAAACTTTTGGTTTACTCATTATAGCGCTCGCGTTAGCAATGATTAATGCGTGCATTCCTCCGATCCTCCCGAAACCGAGCCTCAAACATTTCTAACAACTAAGCTGTCGACTATTATTCTTGTCTCAATTTGCCGTAGTCTAAATAACGCGCCATTAGGTATACATCTAGAATATAGTTCGCTCTTTTATAAACTCTCTTTTACATGAAACGATTAAACCCACGGTACGTCCTTTCGTCCTCTGACTTTCGTCGTGTTTTCGCGCGTGTCGGCCAACCCCTCGATATTCGGTATCTCGGTAATTATTGTTCTTTGAAATCTGGCGATTATATCCTTCGCCCGTACAACGCTAAACGGTACACGCCATGGTCGTAAATGCCGTACACTAACATTGCCCAAAACGTTCTCTGCCGGAGATCTATCGCAGGCGTGGCCGCTGACCGCAACTTGCTCGGGAGCAACGTCTGTCTACTCGAGGAAACACTATTGCAGAGAGCCAACTCGCACGTTCGAGCCACGATAGCGTCAATATTTTAGCAATTCTCGAGATTTCGCTATCGCTGAAATCGGCCACTAATCGATATATCCGTTATCGTGGCTCGAAAACGTTTATGTTGGAGCTAAAGCTGTAAGAACATCGTCGACAGAAGTCTTTCCGTGCTCTTTGCTCATAATGGAGCCGCGCTAATAGCCTAGTCACGCAAGATTCCTCAAAGACGAGCGATCCTGCGGAGGAATCGTGATTTTTATATCTCACTGTGTACGGTACATCGAGAAATATCGAATAAAACGACAGAATCGGTGGTGTCGGTCTCCGTTGCTTCCCTTTCATCGATGCTGTTTTTCTATTTCTTTTTTCGTAAATCGCAGCTCCAACATAAACACACCCTCGAACGAATAGTTTTGCGCAAAATCGGCGTTAATTCCTTCAGATGCAACCCAGAGTTGTTCGCTCACGCCTGGCCTACAGCCGCAAATAAACCTGTGCTCTATATTACCTTTCGGAACACGCGAGATCGCAAAGATTCGGACGGCGATTCCGCGTGTACACGGACGTCGAATTGCCGAGTGTTCGCCACGGTTTCGTCGGCGTTTTCATCCAATGATGTCCGAGTTTCGGCGGCGATTAGTACCATCGAATGCAGCGTGCTCCACGCGCACGGCTGGTTCTAAGAGGGCGCGCGAAAATAGGGAAAATCCGGGACGCGCGGGAATCATCTGATATAGAAAACTAAAGGCGGTGAAACACGTTTTTTTTCTCCGTTTTTCTTCTCTCGAAAGCTACGTACGACATCATGTAGCAGGCACGTCTTATCATATCACGCTAAAGGCTTTAAGAAGCCCGGTGTAGAACCGTATTTGAGGTACCGAACCAGATGCTCCTCCCCTCCGTTCTCTTACCGCTTCTCCACGCGGTCTTTCCTTCGTTTGTTTTACTCGTTTATCATTTCTTTAGAATCAGCTATCTACCCTCGAACGCTAAAACTCTTCCAGGCTCTCCGAGCATACGCTTTCGTGTACTCCCTCTCCGTTCCCTTCGAGCACACACGCCTCTCCTCTAATTACAACTTTGATCTCTAGAACGCCTCGGAATTAAGGGAAGGGTGCGAACGGTGCGCGAGCGCAAACAAACGGACCGGCGCCTCTCCTCCCGCGGAGGAAAGAAACGCCCATCTCCCGGGGAAACGACTCGTTCGAGGACGTTAAACGCGCGGTGTCCTCGAACGGGCTTTCCTTTTGTCATCTCCTTCTTCTTTTTCTTCTTTTTCGTCTCTTTTTCTCCATCCGCTTTTTTTTCTATTTTCTCATTTTTTGTTTAACACGAAGCACATTATCACACGTGCAGGCCTACGAGAAGTTTCTTATCGAGAGAACACGAGAGCCGGCCGCGACTGGCGGCGGCCGGATTTTCTTACGCGTTTTATTTAGGCTTACTTGTTTTCTTTGTTGTGTTTGGTTTTCTTCTTTCTCATTTCTCGCTTTTTGCTCGTCTCTTTTTTGCGTTCACCGTTTTGTGTAACTTCTTGCGTAACAACGAACAAGCGAGATCATCGAGAGAGAGGATACGTCGACGCGTCTAATGCCGATACCTACCTTGGTTTTCGCTTTCTCGCCGGTAAAACGCTATTCCCCCGATCCGGGTGCGTCGCGTGCACACCTTCGCGCTCGTCGCGACCAGGAACGATTCACGCGGCGGAGCCACGAATCCTCGAGCGCGACGAGCTAATCGTTTTTCTTTTTTTTCCAGAAGACTTTGCCGCCATTCTCCACGGTTATTCAAAAAGCTGCTTCGGTTCCGGTTAACACGTTCGCTACTGGAAGGCTCGTTCGCAAAACTTGCAAATAAATTGACCCATTATGCCTTGAATTGTGACGGTTTCACTGTACCTACGGCACCTTTGATTCTTGCACCCGCGACGAAATTGCTGCGGTATATAGTTCTACTTAGAATCGCGTCAGTTGACGAGACGGTCGATTGAAAAGACTAGGCAAGTTTCAATTAACCCCGATAATCGCTTGCGAATCGAGCCGATAGGATGTTGAAAAGTCAGCGGTGTAAATTAATTAACGCGCAAAAATTTGCACAGGCTTTTGTGAAAGACCAAACGCATATTTCGTAAACGTAACGCTGTTTTAATTAAAAAAAAAATGGTACTTCGAAGTACGTTCAGGGCATAAGAGGGACATACCTCGATAAAAGAAGAAGATAAAGTGTAATACAAAGATGCAAGCAAGTCCCATCGATGGATTCGATCAACCTATTCGGCTAAGAAATGCTAAGAGAAATATTTCTTGCTGCCAGGATGCTCGACTACAGTTACTTTCAATCAATTCAGGCAGTATAAAAGTATTCTGTATTGGAACACCATAGAGCTTCCTCTGTATCTTCGTTGAAATAAGAAATATATATATAAACCGCTAACAAGGCTGTTCACGGATCGTGGACTGCGGATCTCTGTGCCGAACAAAAATCATCCGCCGCAATTCCAAGCGTAAGAAGTCGAATAGATCGTTTCAACTTGTGCTTTTTAGCGCGTACATTCGAAACAATTATAACACAGTTCGCGAAATTGCTGCTCGTAGTTTCATTACAATAATATTCGTTGTAAATGCGATAAGATCCACAGTCCGTTCGTAGATCGTAAAGATATAAGTTTTTAGGTCCATTATTACACCCACACGCCGTCATATGGTCCCCCTTCCAGGATCACGTGCATGATCAAACACCACCGCGTCCATTTTTTCAAATATCGCAATGATAATGGCTGATTTTCGAAAAATAATTTAATTAAACATGTCGAAGAACAAGTACACACAGGGAGAACGTTGACAAGAACACGTAGTTTTAAAAGCCACCGTCGTATCGTACGGCAGAATTACAACCCCGTCCACTGTACAATCGAAGAATACCGGACTCGCTTGCTTACATATTGTATATAACTAACTTCCGCACGGATGCCGGTAGCGAACGTGTTAATTATAAATAACTGATAAAAGTGTCCTCCTCGCAGCATTCCGGTTTGCCTTGGCGTCCATCGCACGACGAAGCTGAGCAAGAAACAGTGAACAATACAGATTAGTGGATGATCGAGCCGTCGCGCGAACGAATTCTTACATTTCACATTGTATCTTTGTACAAGCGTCGCAACAACTTCGTCCCGAATCGTATCGAATCGTTACATGAATGAGAAAAAAAAAGGAAAGGAAACAGCCTCGCGACATGATCGGGCTAATCGATGACCGAGTCAAGCGGTGAAGACAGATTAAAAAAAGGCGTTCCTTATTCGAAGTTCCTGAAGCGACTCGGATCGCCGAAGCCGGGCGAGAAGAAAAGCGCGAAGTGTTTGCCGAACGTCTCCACTCCCAGGTAACCCGGGGACAAAGATTCTCTCGAATAACCGGGGAGAATCGCGTGATCGGTTGCGTGTCGGTGTCGGTGTCGTTGTCGGCAGCGACGCTTCCCCCGCATCGTTGCGCCTATCCTTCGTTCTCTCGCCTCTCATATGAACACGGAAAGCATTGGTGCGCGGCTTCTCTACGATGCAGTGCTGCCAAACATTTGTTCGTCTTACTCGCAACACAATTTTCGTCCGCCTAACGCCGGTGACAGTTCGCATCGAACCGCCAAAAATGGCACCGTTCGATCGCCAGGCCGTATCGGTTATCACCCCAAGCAATCGAGGCCGGCGACTCGTCGTCGTCGTCGTCGCTTCCGCATCGTCGACCTCCTCTTCCTCTTGGTTCTCCCATCTGTATCTCTTATCCTTTTTTTTTTTACATTTTATCGTTTCGTTCGTTTTTTAAAAGTCGCGTTTATGTAAAACGATGATCTTTCGTTGTCTCTGACGTTGCACGAGAATCGTAAACTGCGCGAACACCGATGAATGCGATGGCTTTGTTTGGGATTGAAGATCGTTATTATTATCATTATCATTATTAATATTATTATTATTATTTACGATTGTTCGTTAGTGTTTCGTTTTTTCTTTTCTTTTCGAACTTGTTTTTTTTTTTTGGTTTCGCTCAATTCCACGTTTTCGATCCTCGAATTTCGTTATTAAAACACGTCCGTCGGGGACGAGACGGAGGAGGGTTCGTGGGGACGGGGGCGGTGGTATGTGGCGGTGGTGGTGGTGGTGGTGTTCAGTGGTGGTGGTGGCGGCGGCGGCGGCGGGGGCGTTCGTATTGTTCGTTTTGTTAAAAAAATACGCTGTTCCGTGTGAACAAAGATTCCGTAAACAACAACAGTAAAAATTCCTCGAGCGTGTGTTCCTGTCACCGCGGAAGAACAATGGGCCGCGGTTTCGCTTGCACGTTCATTGAAAAGTGAGTGTCTCCGCGGTTCCGAGTTTCCTGGTGGTTTTTAAAAATCTCGTAAAAGATTCACGGCGCGTTGTCGGCCTCGATCCAACGCTATCCAATCGATAAAACGCTTCCTTGTACTCTTACAAACAACGATTTAATCGTAAAACGCAAAGAAAAAAAATTATCCGTGAACGCAAAAACAGGTAAGAAACTATCGTTAAGTAAATACGACTATCCAACGAGAAGAAAACGAAAGTTAGTCTCGCACCGTCGAAACGACGATACCTGCGTCTCTTAACTTTGTTTAATAAATAAAGGGGCTAGAGGTGTAGAGAGAAGGTGTTGTTACAGTAAAACGAATCGTTAATACTAAAAAAAAAAAAAAAAGAAAAAGAAACGAGGAAAATACTGGAATCGCTGTAACTTCCAGGGATGGGGGAAAGGAGGAGAGGGTAATTAAAATCGAAACGAGAACGTTTTTAGTGCCACGTCGATCGTTGCCCGGACGAAACCTCGATGAGATATCGACCCGTTGCTCTCGATTTTTGCGTGTTTCTTGTTCTCTTGTTGTGTGTACGTCTCTACCTGTGTTGATCGTGTACGTGTAGGTGTACGCGCGTACGTGTGCGTGTGTGTGTGTGTGTTAGTGTTCGTTCGTTTCTGTTACGTTCGAGAACACGATCAATGGGGTAACGGCGAGGTTTCCGGATGAGGATTTAGCAAACGACCGCCTCCGATATGGGGTTCTCGGTGATGTGTATAGTCGCGGTCGGCCGGTCGATTTTCTTAATGCACACGTGGTTCAGTTCCTCGAGGGAAGCCAGTCTGTAGTCGGCCATTTTCAGTGGTGAGAGCGGTGCCACTGTAAAGAAAGATAAAAGAAAATACCAGGTCAGAGCGATCGGTGTGATCGGGATTGTTGTTCATTCGACCACGGTTCTACGGTTCTCGTTCGATTTTTCGTGAACGGTACACCCACGTTTATGTTCCATTCAGTGAAAACAAAAATCGGATTCGGATTCGTATACAAATATCGTAGATATAATAATACATAATATGTAGCAATCAGGAGGCTCACGTGAGATACACAGAGAAAGAGAGAGAGAGAGAGAGAGAGAGAGAGAGAGAGAGAGAGAGAGAGAGAAAGAAAGAAAGAGAGAGAAAGGGGGGGAGAGAGAGAAAGAGAGACAGCAGATACACGCGGTTAGCACACGATTGTCGGAACGTAAAGACGACAAAAGTGGGGAAAAAGAAACCAAAGAACTGAGAAGACAAAGAAAGGCGCGCATGCAAAGTAACAGGTAGAGTTCTGTGTGTCGGTGAGATTGTTTCATGTGCGGAGGCATGTGAATTAGCACGATTTCTTATTTGCTATTCTACTGCCCAGTAGGTGCCAGTTCTTTTTTTTTCTTTCAAGAAGTTGCACTTTTTAGTGTGCGTCATTTGGTAATGTAGTGTCGACGCTAAATGTTGCTACAAGAGAAGAGATTTAGTAGTTTCTTCCTTTATTGATCGGTTGACCGGATTAAAAACCAGTTGAATATCTTAGGATGTATTCTCTCGGTAGGTCTCTGATTTATCGTCCATTGGTAGAGTTCGTACCAACTACTGATAAGAGACCGTCGGAACATGGTCAAGGTATAGACAGAATAGACCTAACATTCTGTACATGTGCTGCAGTAGTCATTTTTAATGAGCCTCTAACAATTCAGCGTGGCGTTATCAACAGGGTTGACATCGATTGTGGCACGAAAATTTAAAAATTCAAATTAAATTGCAGCTTTTTCAAAATTAAGAGAAAGATCACGTAAACATTGTTTAAATGAAAAATACATTGTATAAACAACAATCGCAATTGAATCATCCATTGTGAAGCAAAATTTTATTGCACACACCAATGCGTTACAAACTTCGTTGTATTTTCGCTTCTAACGATCATATTTACTAAAAACTTGTATAATAAAATAGTCACAGTATAATGTCCAATAATGTCCTCTAAGTACCAAATTGTTATAAAATTTTTATCTTGAAAATTTTGAAAGCTGTTAATAGACAATTTCAATGTTCGAAATTGTTTATAATTATACTTTCATTTAAATTCAATTCTAATCCTGTTCTCATGCGAACAAGCGAACAGCTGAAGTTTGTCTTTCCACTTCAATTAAGAGCAGGATTAATCAATGAGCAATTACTAGGTCGGTAAGGCAGTTGACTCGAGCCACGAGAGTCCATAACATGTTAGGTCCATTCTCAATCTCGTCGACGATGAGTAGCTTCAGTCGATAAGGATTTATAATGAATGAAAAACATTTGTCGTGAATGAGTGGAAACGATTGATATTAGGAAATCATTGAACGTACTAGAATCTACGCAAACTAAAAATTATTCTAGACTGAAGTTCGATAAAGTCACGCTACAATTTCAATGTCATAAAATGCACCTGATTCTCCATTCACATCGTAAACCGTTTCTTAAAACTTACGAAAATCAGTGAATACAACTATTTCGTTCAACTGCAATATATTTTATTCAACACATTTATTCAAAATATATGTACATGTGAATCTCGTAAAGAAGAGAAGATGTATATCGCAGATAAAACGGAAATTCGAAAAGGTTCAAATACGTAGAAATATTAAGATTATAAGGAACGATAGGAATAAAAAAAGGATAATTACAATGATAATAGATTCTTAAAAAGTATTCAACGTCAACAGAAGTAAAAAAGCAAAAATTAGAGTCATCATAACTGTGTCAGGTAGAATTATTAAAGAGAGAATAAAGTGCATTTTGAAATCAAAAGAAACAGAAAACGCTTCAAAAATTAGTCCAGACCCGACGTCTGAATGTTCTCGCACAGCAATTGTAATTTTTAGTTTCTATAGTTGTTACGTTATACCGACTATGTATAACTAGTATAGTATTTAGGTAGTATACATAAACTAACTATATTGTAGTTAGTTTTTAGAAAGCGATAGTGAAGGGGATATCGACGATTCAAAGTGATGCATGTGAGAGATTCATGAAGCACAGTTCAGTAAGTCTGAAAGTCTAGACCCAGAACGTACACATACGAGAAAGAGAGAAAGAGAGACGGGGGAGAGATAGAAAGAGAGAGAGAGAGAGAGAGAGAGAAAGAGTATGTTAGTAACGTGAAGAAGGGAGCAGCGGTTAGTTGCCTTTCAGATAATCCTTGTGGGACTGTACCCGAGGTTGTCCAAGGCATGTTAGTCGTGATAGATAGATAGATAGATAGAGAGAGATCGTTGTCGGTTAGTAGCTCCCGATAAGAGTTTGAATTCCGACTTACTTAACACATAGACGTGGCCTAACCGACCAACTGCGCGCTTGACTCCTTGCGGCCTTCAAATCCTAATTACAATTACCTTCGGGTGTTGTCGGCGTCACGGGCTTCCGCGAGGATTTCACCACTAAAACGCATAAAAAAACAAATTCTCGTTTAGAGACTCCAAGCATAAGAATCGTGATGTGGTCGTGGCGCACGTTCTTTTGTTCAACACAATCTGATCGGAAGTCATTCTATAGTGCTGATGCATCGTTAGGCCAATTGTCGTGTACCATTACATTGAAATTAAAGAAAAAGAATGGCCGTCGTCCATCTAGACCTGCTACGTTCTAATTGAATATCGCAGCGACGGAATCGTCGTTTAGAAACGCTTCAACGATTCTGTCCATATCGACGGATCGTGATTTCGCCGAACTGCGACATCCGGTTAGAACGTATTGTAACAGCAGGATGCACGAAGGACAATCAGACCGATATCGAAAGGAGGAAAAGGAGTTTTATTGTTCGAGCGACATTTATTAAAATGCGTGTGAACGATGCAAATCGATGTTGGTCTGACGCGGTTTCGGCGAACTGCTGTTCGATGGCCGACGACCTGAAAGCAACGACCCTCGTCCATTCGTTCATTGAAACAACGAGAAGCTCGTTTTATCGGTACGTCGATCGAATGGACGAAAGTAGCGAAACGCTTCTGCTGTCGCGATTGTTTCGCGAGGCAACGTTCGTACAGCAAAAGCGCTGACCGGAAGTGATCGGACACCGACGGAGGAGTTTCTACGACTACAGCGGGTTCGAGACTATCGTCTACAAATTATAACAATACTACAGAGCGTCATTCGCGGTGTTCGGCGTTCAACCGAGAAGCAAACAAAACACAGCTAAGAAGCCTGAGGACGCTACTCGCTAGTCTACTCCAGCTTCAACAGACTAATTAGTAATGTATACGTACCACTCGATCGATCCGAGACGCGTGGGAAATAAAGGCGCAAGTCGGTGAACATGTATTTTTTTTTGGTTTAATTCTTATTCTGCCTTCAGATGATGATCGCATCGATAACAAAAAGAAAGGAGAAAGAGAGAGAAAGAGAGAGAAAGAAAGAGAGAGGGGGGCAGAGAAACTAAAAGAGAAGAGAGAAAAAGAAAAAAAACTTTCGAAGAGATGTGGCGATGGTAGAGTGAGAGAACTAGAAGTGATGAATTCAACGTGTATTCCTTTTTCAAACCTCTTTTTATTTATCAAGTCGAGCCAGTGGCTTCCCAGTGAAGGAAAGTACATGATCGAAGACGATGCTAAGTCTCGATGGAACCGGAGAACTCGCGCTCGAACCGTTCGATCAAATTCGATTTCGTCGGGATCGATGAGGAGCGAAGGAAATCAATAGCAGGCAGAACAATCATCGATCATTTCGCGAGGAGCACGAGATCGCGAGGAAGCCAGCGTGCATCGAGGATTAACAGCGTCCGTTTTTCTTCGTGTTCTTAGCTTTCTTCGTATAACATTGAAAACTCTATACGTAATAACAGAGACGATTCGTAACAACAATTAAGATAACGACAGTGTCCGTGGCAGGAACAGTTACGTTAAATAGAACAACACGGGCGTACTTTTTCTTGGCTAACATACGCATAAGAATAACCTATTCACATAAATTAGGTAACAAATTCATTGTCATATGCGAAAGAGATCGGAACAGTCGAGATCAACGATATACATATAATTATGCATTTCAAGAGAGAGAGAGAGAGAGAGAGAGAGAGAGAGAGAGAGAGAGAGAGAGAGAGAGAGAGAGAGAGAGAGAGAAAGAGAGAGAGACATAGAGAGAGGAAGATAGAAAGAGAAAGAGAGAGAGATTGAAATAGAGAGAGAGAGAGAGAGAGAGAGAGAGAGAGAGAGATGTGTGAGGGGGCGGGCGAGGGTTGATAGGGCGGGCTGCGAGCAGAAAAGCACTTCGCCGACAAAAATGTTTCGCGAACGGGAAATATTTCTCCACCGTTTCCTCTACCTCTACGTTATCAACTGGGCGATAGTGGTAAAGCGTAGTGTCAATGTGATAAGTGCTATCGTGTTTCTGTGACCAACAAGCCAAAAAGAATAATAAAGTTCGATTTAGCCGGGCGGGCCAGCGTTCGATCGGCGAGAAACGATAGAACGTTCGCTTCTTGTGTATCGCATTTCTGTATGCTGATTCCCTAAAGCGTTTTCACAGGTTCCAGGACAACGTTCAGCGTGTGGTGGTCAATAAATCATATGTATAGCCGAGCGAGGGCGGGGACCAATAATGCCGGAGGGGGTGAGAACGGCCACGCCAAACAAAAAAGGAACGAGATCGGCGGCCGATTGTTATCGAAGCGGATTCTCTAGCTCGCTTCTCTGTTTCGTGATCTCGGCGACAATGGTGGAACAAGGTTTTTTTTCTTTTTTAGCTCGCTACGACTAGCCGTTTAAGTATGCACCGATGAAAAACCGAGCTTTCGGAAAAGCTTACACACAACCGAGCTGGCTAGCGGGTCCCAAAAGGCAAAAATGGTCGACGCGACTTAATTTACAAAGCGTTAAATTCTTCGTTTTTTGCGTTCCTGTTTGTTCTTTTTCTTCTCATTTTCTTTCTCGCGGTCGATGTCGCACGCCGCGCGCCGCACCGACGCGGAAACGCGTCCGCGTCCCGACGAAGAGAACTCGAACCCGGTCAAACGACCCGAGAAACGATTTCGTTCGCTTTTCCAGGATTTGATCCTCTTTTCTTTTTTGTCTCCGGTGCACTGACACACCTGGCGTTGAGTCAAGAGTTTCGTAGGCCAAATATTCCACGGATATTTTACTCGTGACACGCAGCGATCGATGAAACGAACTTAAGCCTACGGACATCCACGGATCTACGGACACTTGCTTTTCTTTTTCGTCTGCTTTTCGTTTTTGATTTTCTCTGTTCGTGAGTAAGTCGTGGAGTTTCGTAGGAGAGCACGTGAACGGCCCCCTTTTCGAGCTTTCGAGTCTTTAATGGTCTCTGGTTTCTCTAGCGGCGATGAGTCGAGAGAGCATGCTTGAGAATAGTTGAACTAGTTGGAAACGGATGCTTGATAAATGTAGATTGCGAACGATTCTATAGATACGTTTGTGGTTAGTTGAAGGTACGGTGGTTCTTTTTCTCGAGTCAAGGTGATTGCGTGCTCCCCTACGGGGCAATTATGGCACGATTCGTTTAATACCGGTGACGATCGATGGGAGTAATCTTTTGATAATCCGATAAGTAATGGCTATAGTGTGGTTCGCCGGGGCGCTCACTTACCATATCCTTCGCCCTGCAGAAAGAGCCGGAAAGCCTCGCTAACTTTGCCCGGTTGCTCCTCCAGCACCATTCCGCAGTCGGAAATCTGCGAATTCAGGCAACAAGCGTCAGTACAATATCTTTTCCATTCCGTATCGTTGTTTCGTCCGTTGCTAACCACGTCCGAAGTTTCAAACTTTCGGAATTACAGCTTAGCAAAATGTTATTATTACTTTCGACTCGAACCAGTTGATTGAAAACGTTATCGATGCAGAAGCAAAAGCGAATATTTCTGGTCGGAGATTTCAATTAGTCGGATTTTCGGTATTCCGATGCGATATGAAAATGCCGAGGTCTGTGCAGTGTAGGCATTACGCTTGATTTGATAATGCAAGGTCGAATTTAACTTTCGTGGCGGGGAAGTGATGTTGAAAAGCTAATTGAGGTTCGCGTGACACGCGAGATTCTCGTGCGTTATTTCTGAACCACGACGAAAAACTAGAAAAGTCGTTCCTTGCTTTACGAAAATAAAAATAGAAAAATTCATATCGGTATAAAGAAGATCGATACATCTCGAAACCAGCAAAAATATCGATATCTCTCGTGGTATAAGCTAATAACGAATTCGCAATTTCAAAAAACGTTAGAATTTACTCTGATGTGTGAAGTACAAATTGGAAATCATGAATCTACTCGATTACGAAGGAAAAACACAAAATAAATTAGATTTGGAAACGTGATAAATCATTAATTGACGACAAAGCTACTGCAAAGGGTTAATATTGACTGAATTACTATAAAATCTTGAAACATTTATTATACAGGATGTCCAAAAATTATGGTTCTTCCGGGAAATAGGGGATTCCTGAGGTCATTCGAAGTAACTTTTTCCGTAGCGAAAATGCGATCCGCGGCTCTGTTCACGAGTTATTAACGAAAAACAGTGACCAATGAGAGGCGCCTATCGCCATTAATTTCAAATTTTATCGACATCTACGAGAGGCATTTTTTAAATTTTCGTCATAGGCTCAGATAAAAAAGCTAAAAAACGAAAGATTTTTATTTCTTTACGAATCCAAGTAATAGCAAGATTTTAAAGAAAAAGCATTTCAGTCATCGTCTAATAGGCTAGTCCCTCTGTCATCTAAAACAACATGCAAGTCAATTTAGTTCAGTTCTCAAAAAGTTATTGCGTTTTAAAAGGTGAGCGAATAATTTTGGGGCCCACTGTATACATATATTTGAGCCGTTTACTTTGAAAGTGGCATAAGTCACTTTACCGTAATGAAAGGTAGTGATTTTTTAATGTTTATACGAAATTATTTATACCGAGAAAAATATCAGTATCCTGATGTTGAAAAAAAGGAAATTTTAGCCTCGAACAAAAATGAATCTATAGTTTACTTAGTACTAAGATACTAAGATATCGGTTTACATTTTCGTCGGTTCCGTCGGCGGGCAACGACGGTGATGTAAACTGTATATAATAGATACCGCGATACATCATCACCGGTACCATTAGATACACATCGTACCCTGACTGTTTGGGGGTCCCAGCGTCACGTATACAATGTGAAACGCGACAAATAAAACGTCTCTGAGTGGTGGATAAGACGAACCCAAGAAGGGTATAAAAGAAGCGTTTTTTTCTTACCGGACTCTCAGTAGAGTTTGGTCGCTCGATCGTTTTCGCCCATATACCTTCTCTCAATAAAGGAATAAAATAAAGTCTTTTTAACCCCTTGACATACCATTTTCTTCGCAGTTACTGCGATTAGAAATTTTTAGATTATAATAATTTCTTAGAAAGAAAAAGAAATTAATGCTTATTGTGCACCTAAATTTACTTGAATGCTTAAATATTGACGACAAAAGAATAGAATTTTATTGCAATTTTAAAAGACAAAATAACATCTATACTCGATGAGTTAATAATAGAAATTTTCATGACGAGTCGGACTCGTCAAAGTACGGCAAGGGGTTAAGAAAAGAATTAGAATCATATTCATTTTCATTCCATAATCCCAACACCTGAGATAACAAATACGAGTAAATCTTCTCGAAAGCTAGCATCCATATTTTGAAACGTGTTAAAACGCAAACCCTTGAATATATCGACTTAAAAACAAAGTGACTTATGCCACTTTCAAAATAAACGGCTCATTTATCAGCGTATCGAACACGGTCGATGTAAGAACGCGATCGCAAGGAGACAGATCCCAACGACGTACAGATACGCGACAGATAATACCGTGAAACTGTGTTCCGTACCTTCATCCAAGAGCTGTTCGTCGGGTCTAATCGACCGTTTAACGTGACGGTGTCGTCGACGTGCGGGCTTAGAGCTCCGGTGATGTTCATGACAGGTACACCAAGCGTGAGGCCGTCCTTTTTGCGTATCGGGTCTAATTCCCTCGTGATGTTCAGATCCGTGCGGCGGATGTAGCTGTCGATGAACAGCGCCAGGTTCGTCGGGTTCACGTGACGCTCGAAGTAATTTTTGTACACCTGAACCAGGTCGTGGTTCCTCTCTTCCGTACCCTGAAACGTGTCCTCCAGTCAATGCATTCAGCCTGGACGGCCCGTGCGGGATGATCGAAACAGTGATATTCGTTTAAGCTCGTATAGCGTTCGAGACACAAACGCTTTTACTCTAGGATCTGCAAATTAATTCTGTTATTTACTCAGCCGCTTCTACCTGGCGACACGTTTTTGGCCCTCTAGATTCTGGACAGATGATTCGATTATTCGAAGGACGGAAGATCGGTACGCGTTTGCGTTGTCTTTTCAAACGTATCTGTTATTCAGTTCTTTTTCATTTTATGCGCACGAGATTGAATGCATTTTTTTACTCGCGCCATACTAGAATTTGTCGCAATTTATTAACACGTTCCGTGCCGAGCTTTTTTTACTCGAATCTTCACACTTTGATATTTTACTAAAACTTGATGTATTACGTGCAATTATTAATTCTCGTACACGTAACAACGTAACAAAAACTTATCAACGCCCATTCTTGCGGTGGAAATTGATTCTTCGGTTCTAAATTTCTTGTAAACAATTTGTTCAGTTCACTAAGTAAACATGCAAGCGTGTACCATCGATGGTACACGTGGCACGGAACGTGATAACCCTTTGCACTCGAAGTTGCTTTAACTGTAAATCTAAAATAGTTTTTCTGACTTACGGTATCTTCATTTTATACGACGAAGTGCATTTTACGCGTGCGAAATCGAGTCTTGCGACTTACACAACGGTTAAACTTTTAACGAGTTTAAAAAAAATCTAAACTTTGTTAACGTCATCACTCGAGTGTAAAGGGTTGATACTGAACGTATCGTACCGCGATCGTACGATTTCATATTCCATATTTTAAAATTGTTGAAATTGTGCGCTCTTTTGTAGAAAATGATTCAATGAAAATTTTAATAAAACGCGCGTTAAATGCAAATTAATTTAGCACCGTCGAAACCGCTGCCGAATGGTCTAACGATTTGTGAGACGCAGAAGCAGTTAATGTCGCCAATTTTAGCTTCTCATTGTCTGTTTTATTAAATAAATCGTTTCGTCCGTGTTTAATCTCTGCGAGCATTGAATCGGTAATCGATCTGTTAATCGATTATAACAATGGAACCGGTAGCACGGAAGTCTGTTTCCTCAGTTCAGGATTCGTTAATTTGCGAACGTCGGAGTAAAAGGTTTGTTCAGTTTAATGAAGCTTTCTATTCCATTGTGCTGTAGGTATTTGGCATATCCGGTAAATACATTCAATCAGCAACCTATCGATTAAATACCGATCGATTCTTACTATTCGCTAGTCACTCGGCTCGATAACATCTGCTTCCTATTGTAACTTCGCCAAACACTCTAACTCAACGACTAACGAAAATTTGTATTTCCGAGCTAGACGCGTCTTCGCCTCAGCTCGCACAACATTCAGGGCTATTTTCATGAACGTGTTATCCAATTCTCGGTTTTCTACCGCTTAAGGCGCTACCGCTAGCGAAAGGTTCGTCGTGAAACGAGTATCGCTTGTATCTGTGAGGTACAAAAAATACTATTGAGCATGCCTAAAACAGATACACAGTATGCGAACAAAATACAAATTCTTGTTTCTCCATTACCAAACAGAAAAGACTGAGGTGTCCAACCGACGCCAAGGCTGAAAAGAATCTCCTTGCGGAAACTGCTAATTCGAGAAGTATCGCAAAGTCGACAATCAACACGCAGATGCCATGCGTTTACAGTTTACAGCATACGCGACAGTGCAAAAACTGACTAAAATAGCTGAAAAACCCAACCAAACAAAAAACGAAATTCACTTTTCTCTCTTTGCAACACCGTCTTGATCAAATTATTATGAACACTTCGAAATTCTCACTCTTTCGCCGATTCACCTTTGCGGCCACTTTTCTTTTTTTGTTATAACAGATATTCTTGTATCCTCAACCGCTTCGCTCCCATGTGTGTTATGTCGCGACACCGATACCATTACGTATAAGATCACAGACGAGATATCTCGCGACGTAACGCCGCTTGCGCGGTGCCACGGACGCGTGCGGTGGCCCGCGACGCAATGCCGTTCGTGCGGCGCCGTAGACCCGTGTGTTGTCCCGCGACGTAACGCCGCTTGTGCGGTGCCACGGACGTGTGCGGTGGCCCGCGACGCAGTACCGTTCGTGCGGCGCCGTAGACCCGTATGTTATCCCGCGATGCAATACCGCTCGTGCGGCGCCACAGTCCCGCGTGTTAGCCCGCGACGCAATACCGTTCGTGCGGCGCCACAGTCCCGCGTGTTAGCCCGCGATGCAATACCGTTCGTGCGATGCCGCGGACGAGTAAACACGCTCTTCCGTTTTTGCTCTCGAATTAAAGCGTGTTTACTCTAAACGTGTCACTGCACGAACGGTACTGCGCCGCGTATTTACGTCACGTACGTGATTCTCGCACAAGCAGAATTACGTCGCGAGATATCTCGTCTGTAACCTTGCACGAACAGTACCTATGTCGCGACATAACACGTCAGCGGGAGCGAAGCGATTAATAATATCTCACAAGGATATCTTGAGAAAATGGAGTACATTAATGTTTGACACGTCAAATTTTGCACCTAGATGCTAGTATTGAATGTGAGTGATGCGACAGATACCTTGCATTGCTTTCATAATTCCGTTAATCATAGAATTATATGAAATTCATATTAAATCACGTTCGAATGAAATCTCCGGGCCACGATAAAGCACAAATATTTACATCGACAAATCGCGCATGAACGTGTAAAGAGGAAAAGCAAGCGCATGGTTCGCCATGGATGGAGCGAGAATTACACGGAAAGCAGAAGATCCTGTGATATTTCCGTCCGTTCATAATGATTCGATCGTTCGCCGTGGACTCGGGACGATCTCGAAGATCGTCGTGTACTGATCCACGATTTGCCATCGAACCAAAAGAATTCCAGCGACTCAGGTATCTCCAGTATTACCTGGGCAACGAACGAGGATAAAACCAACCATCGAGACCTATCATTAGCCTTGGCCTTTGCAAGAAAAGAAAGAAACGGAAAACGAAAGAAAAGAGAATAAGTTAAATGAGAAACGGGATCGGAGGGAGAAGGGTTGCTGGCCGGAGGCACGATCCCGATTTCCGTTCACGAAATTACAGTTTCTCTTGGTCTCTCTTCGTTTCTGTTCACGCGGCCCGGCCGCGTCCAAAATGATGTCTGCGCCGATATCAAGCCTGCAACGTGTGATTTCCTACGGTGTGTGCGGTAACTCTATTAAGAAGCTACGTGTTGCATAATGAGAGCACGAGAATTGCCGTTAATCCCCTAAATCGAATTTCCCAGGTTCCACGGAAAGACTCGGCGATGTAAGCCTTCGACGGGCCCGGCACGCTGTCGCCGATAAATTATCGACCTACAATGGCGGCGAAACTCGGTTTCGGAGATGAACGCAACGATCCGAAAGAAGCGATTTCGTTTCCGAAACGAGTTCGTTTCGGAAAGGAAACGCGAATTGTACTCGGGAGACGTGGAAGAGAAAATACGGTTTTGTTTTTCATTTTTCGAAAATTTCGAGGACAGCTTCGAGCGCGTCGAAATGGCGTTTCCCCCGTGGAGAATTTTACGAACTGCGTCGAAAGTAAATACGTTTTACAGTAAATTCGTTCCAATTGTCCGTCAGCTTGTAAACAATAATGGACAATTTGGGAAGACACGATTGTTCGAGCCTCGCTGATCTTTGACAATCGGCGACTATAAAAACGAGTCGCGAGGCTCGAATAATCGAATCTCCTCTTCGTAAATTCTCCATTTTCGTTTGCAAGCTGAGGGACAATTACTGTATCTTCTTCTTTAGAATATTTCGCGAAACAGATTTTACGAACAACGCGAGAATGTGTTCTATCTTGTCAGTCGCGTTCCTAATTAATCGGTTCGACCGACTCTAATCTTCGCTGGCATCGGCTCGCGGCGATTTCGCGAGAGAATGGAAGCTTATTAAACGCGTGAACGCTAGCTCGTTCTAAAAATCGAGCGTTTCCGTCAAGTAACCTCGACGAAGCTTCGCAGGTCGTCGCCGAGGTTATGGCCTGCTTCCTTATACATGAAACTACTTTTAGGTGTGCATTTAGCTACGTATCCACCGAACGAACAGGGAGCAACTTTTTAGTTGACGCTGCTGGTGCAGCGAAAACTTTCCAATACGTATTTCAACGTTACCGTCGTCGTCGACAGCGGTGGAAGTTTTCGCAAAGTGTTCCCCCGGAGAAGCGCGAGAAAAGGAAATTATGCGAACGATGAACGTGGTTCTCCCTCTTGAAACTTTGTTGTTTGCTAGACGGCTCGGTCGGTCTCTATTCAAATGCAATTAAAATCTATCGACTGATACGTTTCTGGTTCAATATTGACAAGTACGTCGCGTCGATTCGGACGGGACACACTCGCGGGAATAAATTAATGAAAATTCGAAATCGAAGTGCTATGCATTTGAAATCAAAGCGAAATCTATTTGGGACGACGTAGATCGTAGTTTTCAATAAACGATGCAAATGACTTTTTTTTTAATAACCAACGTGACCGGCGTGAAAAAAGTTCCTCGGCGTTCCTTTGATGGATACAATAGCTTTATGATTGGTGTCATTGTTTCTCGGTCGATCGATTTTTGTGGCGGAATACAGGGTGTTCAAAATCGGTTACCCACTTTGAGGACGCACAATACTCGCTAAATTGAATGATACATGCTTTCGCTATGCTGCTTTCCGTCGAATGCAGTATAGAAATTGAATTTTCGGTAACCTTAATCGTCACTTTGATGTCCGGAAACGTCCCGAGTGTCCTCCTATATGTGCATAATGGCTTCGAATTGTTCGATCGTCTTGACGATTCGCGCGTTCATTATTCGTTTAAATCGCTTATACCGCAGCGTAGAGCAACATCTTTCGCGCGAGTAGAAGATAATAAAGTGAAATCGAAAAGAAAACGTATAAAAGGGTCAACGAAGCGAGTGAACCCTCCAAAGCACTTTATACCGAATTCTCCGAATAGAATATTGCCCTCGTATAGGTATTTTGTAACACCCTGCACACGAGAAGAGTCTTGAATAAGATGATTGCATGGATTCGTCGATGATTGGTGATTAATCTTGAAATCGTGTTTAATTTAAGACTTACAAGGATGGAAAGATGATATTGTTTATTCTGCTTCAATATATGTCGCTTAAACGGAATCATCTGGAATTATAAAATTAACGTCTTGAAATATTGTTAAGCGATCGAGATACGTTTCTAAAGGAACATCGATCATTACTAGACTGCGGATATTTCTGTGAGACCATGTATCGATTCGTAGAATCGTTTCAATAAGACCGATAGAGAAATCCTGAATTTTTATAATCTGGCACATGTTAAGGTCCGTAGTCTAACAATCAAGCTAAAGCATAATAAAACATGTCGTTAACTAAATCTATGGTGTACAGGGTGTGCTGTAACAATTGTCGCAAGCGGTTAGCAGGTGTGATTCCATATCGAAAGCAGAACTTCTGGCAGAAGAGAATCGGCTCTATCTCGGCGACTGTCTAAAGTCTCGATTCTAATTCTAAGCTATCGATTTAGCGAGCACCGGAGACCTGCGAAGACGATCTTCGATATCCAGATGATCGATATCGTGCCGATGGCGATCGCGCAGGTTTCTAAGTAGCAACGATCCGCCGATATCCAATTAACCAATGTCTAATTGGCAACGCGGTATAAAAACGCGATTATCGAGTCAATATCGACTTTGTCTATGAAAAGATTCTCCTATAAAAAAGACTACCGAGCTGAAACCAAGAATAAACCTGTCGTTTAAAAAACGCAATAACAAAAACGTTGTGAGTGAATAACAAGCCGCTTCTACGTTCAAACTTTTGCAGAGATTCAGTTCTGTGCACATACAGGGTGCTCCGAAAGACACGGTACACTTCCTTACTGCAATTTCAACACGAATTTACCGTCTCGAGTAGCACACCGAGCAATCAGAAAGTTATTAATTTAACCTGGACAATGTTCCTCGGGCAAATAAACAAATATCCCGGTAGTTCATTTAGACTACCGAAACAATAATACGTTGTGTGCTAAATACAGTCAGACCTTAACAGTGTGACGCGCGAAATTCTGCCCTGTCTCTATCGAACTGTTGTCATCTGTGTTTCGGGTTGACCTCTGTCGTTCGAAACCACCAATGGAGACGGACAGAAGTGTCTCCTAATCGTGGGAAAAAGTGCACAGCAACTTTCCGAGCACCACTGTACGGGAAACGGTGTCCTTACCCTGCCGAAATGATGCCACATCAGGTAATCCAGGACTCCTTGAGTCATGCCCTGTGATCTCAGATGACGAACGTTCATCTTCTGATAAGCCCACTCGATCCAACCTGCCTGGGTGGACACGCAGTTTATCAAGCACAGCGCGTTGACCTTCTCAGGGTGAGCAAGAGCGAATCTGGCGAGTATGTTAGCTCCGGCGCCGACTCCAAAACCGATTATGGACTTCAGGCCAAAATGGCCCAAGACGAAGAGCAGCTGCTCTGCCAGTTCGTCCATGGACGGATAAACGTAGCTAGAACACAGTATGTTCGCTTAGCCACGCTTAGACACGACCTTCGCCTTGCGTCTCATTGTCAGATCAGATCGCTATCGTCAACGTTGCTCGCCTTAATTTACCGGTGCACACTCGGATTTCATTTTGATCTTTCGATCAATCATCGGCAACTTCTAAGCGATTCGTTCGAAGCTCTGTACACGTGGATTTTAATTATTATTTTGTTGCGCAGACTCGAAGGTATATCTATTTAAAAAAAGAAACGAATTTAAACCGGTATAACGATTCATTTTTAAATGCGAACAAATTTTTTATTCAGGACCCCCAAATTGCAGTTGAAAGTAAGTTGGAGTTTCTACAAATGACAATTTTATTCTTAAACCAAAGCGTTCCAGTAAAATTTGCACGATCTGGAAAATCCATGCTGAATATTTTCGGACCGATTGATTAATAGTTAAAACAACGGTTCTTTGAACTCTTCGCAGGATTGATGGATCCAAATATTCAGGCTGTTTGGTTCGAAGCTATTTAATTTGATCCTTTACTATTCGGTAAGATCATTGCAGATCGCTGTTATTAGTTAGTTTCTAAAAATGACAATTTTATTCTTAAACCAAAGCGTTCCAGTAAAATTTGCACGATCTGGAAAATCCATGCTGAATATTTTCGGACCGATTGATTAATAGTTAAAACAACGGTTCTTTGAACTCTTTGCAGGATTGATAGATCCAAATATTCAGGCTGTGTTTGGTTCCAAGCTATTTAATTTGATCCTTTATTATTCGGTAAGATCATTGCAGATCGGTGTTATCGGTCTCTCCATCGGTTGATGCGATGAAAGAGGCTCGAAGTATCACTGACACTATCGATCGACCGCTAATACATTCGGATATGAACTCGTCATGAAATTTTACGGATTTGGCACGCGAACGGGTATCGTTTTGTAGGCCCGTTGCATGAAAATCTGCATTGCAGTCTAAATCATTCTGTAACACGCTGTTCAGCTACGTGTGCGTTCGTCGAGGTGAGCCTCGATTGTTTGAGGCCAGCTTAATCGGAAGTCGTAGGCACTGTCAATCTTCTAATTGAACGCTGTGAACCGTCTCTAAGCGTTGCGTCACTGAATTTTTCCTTCGTCGATCAGAATATATGAATCGAAATCGAGTTCGATTTGTCAGTCACGTAAACTTACGCCTCTACAATTTCACGAATTCAACCATTTCTCTTCTAAAAATTCCGTGGACGTTCTCTTCAAACGACTATTTTGTTCAAAAGTACATAAATTATACAGTCTATGGCAATACTTTTTGCAGCGGGATCTTCAAAATTGCCTAAACAACGGTCTCTCTCCGAACAATTGTTTCCCTAAATACTTGAAAAATTATTAGGTTGGGGAATAAGTTCGTAGCGTTTTTATATTTTCTTTTATTTTACAACGATTTTTTGCTGTTTGACAAAGTGTATAATATTCATTCGATAGAGCTCTTTCTGCTCTACAAAACTGTGCTAATCATCTTTTTGAGTGATTTAATTTTTTCTTACTTTCGAGGCTTAGAAATGGAATATCCAGGAGGTAAAAAGCAACATTTTCGACACCTTCTCTTCTTCGCTTTTCATCGAGACCAAAAAGCTGCCGAAGCAGCCCGGGACATTTGCAACGTACACGGAGAAGGTGTCATAGGCGAGTCTACAGCACGGAAATGGTTTGCGAAGTTCAAAAATGGCGATTTTGACATCGACGACACGCCCCGCGGCGGAAGACCTTCCGAATTCGACGAAGAGCGTCTCAAAGCACTTTTGAAGGAGGACGGTCATCAAACGAGTCGTGAATCGGCCGAAAAAATAAACTGCGATCATAAAACGATTCTCAATCATCTTCAAAGAAAATCGCCTTCAAATTGCTTCTCAATAAAAACGCTACGAACTTATTCCCCAACCTAATATATTTTTGTGTTAAACGGCTGTCATTTCGTAAAAAATATTTTTTGGAAATTGCTCCGTTCATTTATTTAGACAAAATGATCAGAATTAACAGAATTACCTTAACAGAAACTTCATGAATTTTTTGTTTCAGATGATCGCAAGCTCGGATAAATCATGCTTCCCGTTTAGATAAAACAAATTGCTTCTCAATAAAAACGCTACGAACTTATTCCCCAACCTAATATATTTTTGTGTTAAACGACTGCCATTTCGTAAAAAATATTTTTTGGAAATTGCTCCGTTCATTTATTTAGACAGAATGATCAGAATTAACAGAATTACCTTAACAGAAATTAACAGAAACTTCATGAATTTTTTGTTTCAGATGATCGCAAGCTCGGATAAACTATGCTTACCGTTTAGAAAAACAGCTTCAAAGAGAAAAACCATTGTTCTGTCATTTTTCAAGCGTTCGCAGCAACAAAATTGCCACACGCTGCACTATATATACACATTTAAATAAAGTTCTTGTTGAAAAAAGAAGTTCTATAGTTCCTTCAGAATAAATTCCTAAAGACGATGTTGATTTCAGACTGCTAGACATGAATGTATAGGACAGAATGGAGACCGAATCGAACCGAATCGAATCGCGTCGAGGATGGACGGGAAGGTCCGAGACGATTTTACGCGATGCTATTCCACAATGCTCGGGAAGTGGAAAGGCGGATTGCGCAACGACCGATAAGATTGAACCCGTACGAATGCAAACTGCGATAGAAGCAAAGCGCGCGTCAATGCGCGCGGCAAAGGCTCGCGAGCGGAGCTTCGACTAATTAGAACGTTAATTGGGCCATTGATTCGCACTAATTGAATTGGCCGCGGTCAAGTAACGCGTGTGCCACCGAGTTCTTGAACGGAGCGTAAATGCGCGCGTTCGGAATGCGCCGGCACACGGAACGTTTCTACGAATCGATTTTCGTTTTGTTCGACCCGTTGCTCAACCTAGCATCAACTTGCTGATTAATATTCTAGAAGGTTTAACAGACTCGGCAGTTCAATGCGAACAGACTGAATTGCTTACGGAAGACATTTTTTTTGCGCGCGCGATCGTCTATCGCGGAATAATCTGTTCGGCATCGAAACTCTTTATCTTGTCGAGGATCAACGATTGTATTTGTTTGCTCGATCGACTAGAACATTGTTAATTTATATACAATGATTCATAGTCCGCGAATTTTTATGCAAACTTTTGCTGCGTTTCGAAACATTAGAAACATATACTGAAGTCTATCAAGTTATCATTAATAAATATCAAATTAATATCACAAATATCTTGATATTAAGGGAAGCTTCTTGAAGAAATGATATAAAAATATTAATAGCCTTTGCCAATATACACGTTAACCATTACTGTGTACATTTACGGGCGTTGTAAATAGGCTTGTATAAAAATTCACAGTTGAATGATTTGTTAAGTGTGTACTGAGAGATTTGGAATAAGTTGAAAACTTTGTAAAAAAAAAGTTGAACGTTGGAGGTTTGAGTAGGAAGGTGGAGGTACCGCGGAAAATTTCATTATAATTGCAGAGTGCACTCACTCCTCAGGAAGCGTTGATGCACCTTCCTCTTGACCCGGCGCGTTCACGTGGTACACGCAGAAATTCTCGAGTAGAACACGCATGTCGATGTAATTGAAGAATGCTTGGAAGCTCGATATATCTGGAAACAACAAAAATTGTGCATGAAAAGCATTTATTAAGACCGTACATTATATGTTAGCACGGAATTGAATTGCATCGAAACGAAATAATTTCGAATTAAATATTAAGATATTTGGCCGTAGAAAATGGCTAGCAATAAATATAATAGTTGGCTATGATTCGAAGAGCTCTATTCTACTATAGTTATTAATTTTGCTTAATTTAATAATAATAAATAGACCAGACCCTTCTTTTCTTTCACTACGTTTATTCTATTTTATTTGTATCTCCGTTAAGAATAATGAGCTTTATCAGTCGTATATAATAAACGATAGCAAATTATATAAATTAAATAAGTAATATTAAATAAATATATAAATTAACAAATATGATATTATTTGAATGAGTTGCTATATATCATGGAAGTCGATATTACCTGGCGAACAACTGTAAACAACTCGATTCCATTTTTCACCTTACGAACGAATTGCCGCGGAAACTCGAATTTCAGGTTTACAATAGTTCCGTCAAGTTTATCGACAAAAGTACGAATTTGCATAAAGTTTCGCAGTCTATATGATAACGAGGTACAAGTTACTCACAGTTAAGGCCTAAGTCGTGGAAAGTGAGAATGCCAGGTTTCGCCCGGTTTCCTTGCACAGCGACCAGCAAACTTCCCTTGTCGGTTTCCACCCTCTCCTCCCGCACCGAACTGTCGTCCCTCGACAGGTATCTCAATGCGGGGAATTGAAGCTGAATATTTTTCAGCTCGATGTCATCCATGCTATCTGAAGGCATCGTGCTGCGCATTGAAAGAAATTCACGGGTTACTCAAAACTAGACCTCCGCCACGTCGACATCCATTTTTCATGTTCAGCGTCATCGATTAACAATAAAGGATCGGAGACGCGTGAATGTGTCCCGAGACCTGGCCTGACATCGGATATTTTCAATAAAGACGAAAGAGAGTAGCCGAAGTTTCCAAGACCTAGGTCGGTCGATTCTATCGTCTGAACGATTTCTGGGGAATCTCGATTGTTATCCGTTTTTAATACCTTACAAAAGTCAGTAAAGTACAGTGGAACCTCCATCATTTTAACAATTACAGCTTCAGCTGTGTGAATCGATCGATATGGGACTGATTCTAAGCGTCGAAATTAACCCCTTGCCGTACCATATTCTTCATAATTAAAATGACAAGCACATTTTCGATTGTAATAATTTCTTCGAAAAAAGGAGAAAATTTATATTTGTCGTGAGTCTACATTTACTGGGATGATTAAAATATTGATCGCAAGAGGACAGAATTTTATTCCGACTTTTAAAAAAACGGAATAACATTGGTATTTAATAGGATATTATTAGAAATCTGCACCACGAGTCTGACTCGTTAAAGTACAGCGAGGGCTTCAGAAACACGAACGTTTCTATTGTACGCACGTTACGAAGAAAAAATCTGCTGTATAACAGATAATTAATAATTTCAGCGATTAACGACAACGAGGTCACGTGCGCAGCTGTTTCTCTCGAAAAGTAATTCCGATAATTTTCGAAAAGTGAAGTTAGGAAAGGACGAGTCGCGTATCGTAATTCCCCGCGCGAATATTTTACGAAGGAGTGTCGCGCACGTAGCCTTGTGGACCCGGTGATAAATTGATCGTGTGAAATTAAAAAGAATTCCGCTCGACCAGGCCAGAAAGCTCGATACGTTATACACCTTCAAGCGGCCGGCTGCGGAAAACTGTACCGCCGCAAATTACGACAAATCGATATTCGTTTTGTCTTTATCGACATCCGCGTGCGAGACCGGAACCTAATATCCACTTTCGTGTTAACGAAAAACTCATTTTTCTAATACACCTTTAAATTATGCGATCCAGTCTCCGACCACGTTGCGGAGAAACCATCGCTCATACACATAAGTCATCGCGAATTTCCTGCACTTGCGACAGAGACGAATAGATCGAGCGCAAAAACCGTGGTAATAATCTCTCCTTGAACCTCTTGTTTCTTTCAGTGAAATTAGTAAAAGGTTCGCAGTATACCAATTAGCCTCTCCATTAACACGTTCCGTGCCGAGCTCTTTTTACTCGAATCTTCACACTTTGATATTTTACTAAAACTTGATGTATTACGTGCAATTATTAATTCTCGTACACGTAACAACGTAACAAAAACTTATCAACGCCCATTCTTGCGGTGGAAATTGATTCTTCGGTTCTAAATTTCTTGTAAACAATTTGTTCAGTTCACTGAGTAAACATGCAAGCGTGTACCATCGATGGTACACGTGGCACGGAACGTGTTAAAGAAACGATCAATTTTGATACCTTACATTTTAAAAATGGTTTTCTAACAGAAAGGTATACATATTACGTTTCAGAAATTCTCAGCGAAGAAACGCAGCTGCATTATATTGCAACAACGAATATAAATAATACAGCGAAGTCCGCAGTTTTGCAAACTCGATACTTCGTTCGACGTTCGAGTAATTAATTAGCTTTCAGATAAATTGTTGGAAGTTCGATCGAGTTAATACTTGCGCAGCGAAATTAGGAAGACCGGCATAATTAAGCGCGTACGACTCGTGCTTTTCTAGCGTGGAATCTTCGAGGGAAACGAAGATGGCGAAAAGAATCATCGAAGCAGAAGGCGTTACTCTCCCCTCTGTTGCTTNTTGATATTTTACTAAAACTTGATGTATTACGTGCAATTATTAATTCTCGTACACGTAACAACGTAACAAAAACTTATCAACGCCCATTCTTGCGGTGGAAATTGATTCTTCGGTTCTAAATTTCTTGTAAACAATTTGTTCAGTTCACTGAGTAAACATGCAAGCGTGTACCATCGATGGTACACGTGGCACGGAACGTGTTAAAGAAACGATCAATTTTGATACCTTACATTTTAAAAATGGTTTTCTAACAGAAAGGTATACATATTACGTTTCAGAAATTCTCAGCGAAGAAACGCAGCTGCATTATATTGCAACAACGAATATAAATAATACAGCGAAGTCCGCAGTTTTGCAAACTCGATACTTCGTTCGACGTTCGAGTAATTAATTAGCTTTCAGATAAATTGTTGGAAGTTCGATCGAGTTAATACTTGCGCAGCGAAATTAGGAAGACCGGCATAATTAAGCGCGTACGACTCGTGCTTTTCTAGCGTGGAATCTTCGAGGGAAACGAAGATGGCGAAAAGAATCATCGAAGCAGAAGGCGTTACTCTCCCCTCTGTTGCTTGTTACCTATTCATTCAGGCTGCAGGCAAAGTAGCATCAAATATTCGCTGCATCAACAGCGGAATATAAAAGGTGCCAGGCCGATGCTTTCAGCGAGTTTGAAAGGCTAGGCTTGCAGATTTTTTTTATATCTCGAGGTGTCGTGTGAATACTTCTCGAACAAAGTTTCTGGTTACCCTTTCGTTGGGTACATTTATTGGAACTTCATTAGCATTCCGAACTTTTGAAAAAGTATCTTTCAGTTGCGAGATCGTGAAGTTATTTTTACCAATTAATTTTTAAATTCGTTACATGGACGGCTCAGGGACCAATCGGTGTGAATCCATCAATTTCTTAATTCAGGTAACAAATAACAGATTCAAATAACAATACCACTAATAATGCAGAACGCAACTTTTATTATAATTCTTTTTAGAAAAAAAGAACAATTTCCTCTGATCAATTTCGTTTAGTCATTCCGTATAGTGATTTATCGACCGAAAGATCCTACGATAAAGATACGTATGCACTGCGTAACTCATTTTCAAAAAAACTGATTGGCCTCTGAACCGAGCATATGAAATCCGACTTTTATGCTCGGAGAGTTTTATGCAAAATTACAAATTTTCCATGTTCATTGTCAGAAACGAAAATATGTTATTGAAATTGTAGTCGTTAGTTCGCAATTTTCTGATTACTCGTCGGATCGATCGTGCAATCACATTTTGATTAGTTCTACACCCTGTCGGATCGTAAATTTACAGGAATGACCTGTGATTGTTCGGCGTCGAGCGATCCATATTCATTCGGCGCGCGAATGCATTAGTCTTGTAATATTCATCCGTGTTTAATTGATGGAGCAATTAACCCGAATACATCGGGAGTGAACTAAGCACGACGAAAAACAACCCTTGCGATCTAGTACATCACGATATCGCTCCGATTCCAGGAATTCATCTTTCCGATTGCAAAACAAGAAATACTATTTTGACAAAAACTTTCGAGAAATATAGCGGAACGCATTCCTCGCCTGATCGAATAGAGAATGCAATCTCTAAATTGAAATAAGTGTATAATATTTCCGAGTCTTTTGACATTTCACTTTACGTATCCACTAATTCGAAGAACAAACTGTTATTTATTTCGCGTAGCTATAAACGAACTACAAACGAAACGCATAAGTTAATAACACAGTGTTCAAACGAACCACTTAGTCAGCATATGCTTCTTTTTATCTCGACTCGGGTCGCGTGTCAGAGGCCGTCAGAAGTACAGCCTGTGTATCATTCTCTTCTATTCCTAGAACAACCAGTTTTGGCACTTAACCAACTTTGCTCCCTTTCATTTTATTCATTTATCCCGTCGAGTGCACATAAACTTCCTTCTGCCCAAATATTAGGTATGTACACGACGACCATCCATAAGTATTTCCTCGGTCAACTCTATTATGTAGTGTACTCTTCGAGATAAATAAAAATTCATAAGCTGAAGCGCCAGGTACAAATATCGATGAATATTTTAATTTTCAAAATAGCTTGAAAACTGTCGGACAAGATTGATGTATCACCAGCGTCGCGCTATCTTTCAACGTTATTTCACAATTTTATACAATTTTATGCAAACATACACAACATTATTCGGGAACCTTCACAGAATAATACTCCAAAAAACCATTAAAACAACTATCACGATTCAATCGGAAGAAACTTCCGAACGTTGAAAATACAATTTTTCTCTTCGAATTTCTCCAAAAATCGAGGATGAAGAAAAATCACATTTGTTATCTTGTTCAGCGAAATTTCCGAGAATCGTCTACTAGTCATCAGACTGTAAAAAACCATTAAATAAACAACTATCACGATTCAATCAGAAGATACTTCCGAACGTTGAAAATACAATTTTTCTCTTCGAATTTCTCCTAAAATCGAGGATGAAGAAGAATCACATTTGTTATCTTGTTCGGCGAAATTTCCGAGAATCGTCTCCTAGTCATCAGACTGTAAAAAACCATTAAATAAACAACTGTCACGATTCAATCGGAAGAAACTTCCGAACGTTGAAAATACAATTTTTCTCTTTGAATTTCTCCTAAAATCGAGGATGAAGAAGAATCACATTTGTTATCTTGTTCGGCGAAATTTTCGAGAATCGTCTACTAGTCATCGGACTGTAAAAAACCATTAAATAAACAACTATCACGATTCAATCAGAAGATACTTCCGAACGTTGAAAATACAATTTTTCTCTTCGAATTTCTCCTAAAATCGAGGATGAAGAAGAATCACATTTGTTATCTTGTTCGGCGAAATTTCCGAGAATCGTCTCCTAGTCATCAGACTGTAAAAAACCATTAAATAAACAACTGTCACGATTCAATCGGAAGAAACTTCCGAACGTTGAAAATACAATTTTTCTCTTTGAATTTCTCCAAAAATCGAGGATGAAGAAAAATCACATTTGTTATCTTGTTCAGCGAAATTTCCGAGAATCGTCTACTAGTCATCAGACTGTAAAAAACCATTAAATAAACAACTATCACGATTCAATCAGAAGATACTTCCGAACGTTGAAAATAC